AATCTCCAAAAAGTTTCCTTAAAATAACCAATGTGTGGAAGTTCACAATGTCACGTTGATAGCTTTTCTAAGAAAGCTTAATGGCTATAGCAGGTAAACATTTGGAGTTACATGTGACACAAGTCTATAAATGTTATTTGTTTTTTCGTAATCAGGGGGCATAACTCTGCAGATCTCAGATTAGCTTGCATCAGTATACAAAGGTGCTCAGGTTTACATGCTAACAACTATTCAAGAGGGCAACATGACAGCAAAAGGGTGGCAAGGGCAAATCCATATCCCTCACAAAGTGGTGGTGGCATTAAACTGTCCCAGTATATTTTTCTAAAAAATAAACAGAACAACAGACTTTGCAGATTTTGCCTACATGACAGTAAAAACAACCTTCTTTTTAACCTTACAAACAATTATCTTCAAAGATAGTCATACTGTCCTCACTTTTAACCTTTTTAGCAGAACAAAATTTTGCAGTACTGTATTTAAAATGAATGAACAAACATTAAAGATATAAAATATTTATCTTTTGCACATCAATTTAAAGATTTTGGAACAAAGTTAATCTTTATCTTGAGGCTCATCAGTTAAGTGTTGCACTCAAAATATAATGTGATATACTGAGATCTATTTAAACAGAACAAAATTCAGTATAAAAGGTTGATCATATATATGCTGAAAGCACACAGCAATGTGTGCACGTAGGTTAGTGGGTTATCTTTCCTATCAGAAACCATCTCATTTTAAACACATAATTTATCATGTGATGTTCTGTTTTTTGTAGGGTTTTATTTTATCCATCCAAGATAAATTTTAACCGAAATTACATCAACAGTGTTGCTCTATAAGTTCTAGTGTTCGTTTCAACATTTTCAATTTATTCAAACATTCCATATCTTCCTGCCCTCTTATCTTTGAATATACTTTAATACCCATCCAATTTTTTTCTGGTAAGGAGTGGGGGTGGTGGAGGGAAGGGGGCGGGGAGGTTAGGGTTGAAGGATTAACCTCTTGACCTTATGTGAGAAAACCTGATACCGGCTAATAATAATGCTTTATCTGGCATGATCTATTAATAGAACAGCTGAAATTTACATTAATTCCCAGTAAACATTATTTGTGGGAAACTATAAAATTTCTTTCTGAGTCATAAAAAAAAGAATGAAATTCAAACATAAGGAACATGCTTCTTTAGAGAGAAAAAAATCATTGATGGAATCAAAGTACAGTTATTTTAATAAAATAATTAAAAGAAACTGTTCAATTCAGTTCTACTCAATTTTGGCAAGAGAACACATGATGTTCAGAAAGTTTATCTTCACCCCCTCTATAATCAAGATAACAAATAGAATATGTCTGCATCAGAATGAATTTATCTTTTACTTATAATCTTTAAGTTTAACTCCAGAAAGTAGTCAGTATCAGTTGATAAACCATAGGCAAAAAGGCAACATAGTCCCTACATCTGAATAGTAATGTCATTAAATAACTTATACTTTATTTATTCATGTTAAACTTCACTGACCGAGGCATTTCAGTACATCATTATAACACCATAGTTTAACTTTATACATATGTATGTACATACACTACTCAATTACATACTAACACATGTCTTATCTCAGTATGGAAATTGATCTCAAAATTAAACTAGTTACATTATCATATCATTAACCATGGTTTATCATAAATTAAAAATGACATACCTGAGACATTATAACAACTGTCTAGAAATTAATTAAGTCGTGAATTCTATAAATTTTCCTGAAATTCCTCTTTCATTCATACTACTAGCTTATGTACCAACAAGTTTTGAAATACTACGGCCCCTCCCACATTACTACTGTACAATACTTCAGTTGTTTAACAGATCTATGAGAAATTCTTTACTGTATTTTATATAGCTACTTAATTTTTAATACGCTGAAGAAGGTCGGTGGAGTAAAAGTGATGATGTGGCGGTGTTTATTTTCTTGTCATGGCTGATATTTTATACATAATTACATGTAGACACAAAAGTATATCAAGCACGACAAATTGATGTTAATACTACACTTGCGTATGGTACTTTGTACTATTACAAATAATATAAATCTGTAATGCCCGATTTTCTCTATCGCTAAACCATACCCTGCTATGTATTTAACGATGAAGTCCGCCCATCTACCAGCATGCTTAATATGTTATATTACAAATAAATTCCATTTTTTAGAAGGCCTAGTCTTTTCAAACAAGACATGGAATAACTGAAGTAATAAAAATTTAAAAATTAAATGCATTTTGTTATATTTAATCCTGGCTTTAACATAATGCATTGAAAAAGAAAAAGGTTTAAACAAATCTTTTGTATTTTCCTTCATTACCATTATGTCTATTCATAATAACATTACATGAGGTCCCATATGTCTTTTTTTCCGTTAATATACCGGTAGTCATGGATCTTCATTTTTATTGTAATATAAGTATAGTCTCAATAAAAACGCAGACATACAAAAAAAGTGATTGCAAATATCATGAGTAAACACAAAGATTTTTTTTTGGTGAAACTATCTTACCTGGATATTTCTATAAGAGTTCAATAAATTAAGATTAAATATTAAGACACATCTGCTTATGAAACTATTACCAATAATATCATTTCTAAACTGTTTACGAAGCTTATTTTAAAGAGAATAACATTGTGTTTTATAGAGAATCATGTCAAATGTACAAAAAAATATATCATATACAAAATTACACAAGGACAATTTTCTCAATCAATTTTGAAAATTTATGAACAAAATGTATCATTTACACTGAATTTCTCACATAAAACCCTAAAAATGATTGTAAATGTGATTGTGCCACTGATATAAGTTTGCTATTTGTTTCGCTTCTAGAATTTCAAAATTTAACGATTGTAAACCTTTTCTTCATATAACCTCTCTTTGAATTTGTAAGAATTATAATAATATTTTGTCAGTTCAATATCTTCATTGAAGTCAAAGAAAAATAACAGGATCTTTGTAAAACGTTTCATGCGTTATTTATACATGAATGTAGATATTGTTTTACATTTGTAAATACTATGTTCCATTGATTTATTCAATACAACCATTAAAGTTCTATGTATTACAAATTAAATAAAGGTAAATTCATAAGTCACAATAGTGGCATAACAGTTTTGCGAAATCAGCGGTACCGTCTTTTGTCTAAGGTTCTGAAAGACCTGGTCACATGAATCAGTGGGCGGAGCTATCTAAGATTTTCAAGAATCTAAACAGAAAATTCAACTTTTAGTGACTGTTTTTTATTTAGTTATTGATAAAACTAAATTAACCTATTAATGATCATATAAGAATATTCATGCAGATATGAATTTATTTATTTGTGCTTATTATCTAACTACTAATGAACTACTAATGAACAAATAAGAGATAATACAATAAAATCTATTTTGTTCTCACTATTCAGTGGTTTGAGTTTTTAAATGTGATATTAAATTGAGTTTTAATTAAAATTTAATTCATCTTATTTGTTCTGCTATTAATTTAGAACTTTCTACAGTCAATATTCAATATAACTGGTCTAAATACAAGCAAATGGCTACACTAGAATATTTGGCAAGAAATTTCAGAATGCACAGATGTGCAGGTTGACCTGGCTTAATACAAATACATGTATCATAATTGTCATCTTAGAGCAGTAATGTGTTTACTCCTTATATAATTTAATAAAAGTTAACCCATTACTGCACTAAGGTGACGATATCTCCTGTCAATATCACCCTGGCTGTTTGTTAAAGTATTATTAACAATTTACAGTAAATAAAACCATCAAATACAGTAACATCTTGCACTATTTATATGTCTAACTATAACAGTTTATGTATGTTAAGGTTATCAGTATCAAATATTCTATGCTGCAACATAATGCAGAATAATTATAACAGTAATATATGTACTATTAGGTATTCAACGCAACATCACTGTAATTCAAAATGGTATCTTGTAATATATACTGAATGTTACCTATATTTTGTATCATCACTATATGATTACGAAACATGATTATTAATTCATTATATCAAATTTAAGAGAGACACAACAGTTCCTAAGAAGGTCTTTTCACGTAAAACAATCACATTCATTATTAAATTTAGTAAATAAAAAAAAAAACCACCCATTCATCTCATTCTTGAATACAGTTTTGTATGGAATATTAACACATGAGGCAGATACCCAGACAGTTTTTAAAACAGCTACATTAGTGTAAAATAGAACAAAAATATTACAAATTGTAAAACATTTACATTAATTTGTATTATATTGTAAGTTTGTAAAAAAAGGCTTATATTTCCAGAACTATTTAACATTTGCTGACAGTTTTTTGTTTGTTCTTTTTTTTTTGAAAATAATTAATGAAATTCTGCTTTAATAGAAAACAAGTCAAAGTTTGTGCTCTTTTTACAAATAAAAGATTACAAGTAATATATCTTTCTTTTTTTTAGTATTTTCACAACTTCCTAATTAATATTTAGTGTGCAAATCAATGAAAAAGCAAAATTCTTAAAATATCCAAGTCCCCAGACATAAAACTGTTAAACTAAAAATCATATTCTTAATTAGCTCCCTTTGTTTCAATTTATTATCACTTTCATTATAATTAGAAACCTCTAATTACTTTTTATAATGTATAAATAGATAAACAAACAAATAAATTAACTTCAAACATTTTAAGGTAATAAACTTTAGCATAGATCAATTTTGTCAGTCTTAATTACTTTATTCATCCAATTTATCATAAGTAAAAAATACTGTAAACTCAGTTCTATCTTTCAGCAACTTAAATAAAAATCCTTAAACTTTTACATTAATTATTCACACAATACTCATGTGTTAACTGCCTACCTTTGTTTCACAATTTGACATCAATATCTACTTTGAAACAAAACGCTCAATTATACTTTCTCATCATATATTATGATTGAGTTATTGGTTTAAAAAATAAATTATAAAATCAAATACCTGATTCATGGCGAACTGTAGGTTCAAGGCAGCCATGTTGATGCTGTTAATTTTTTCCTTCTAAACTTGAAAAAATTTTGTTAAAAAAAAAAGCCAATAAAAATAACTTTCTATTTTAAGTCAGTGTGTATTAGTCCCATCAATTTGAAACAATGATTTAATTGGTACTGCTCACTGACAGTTTATATATATACAGGTAAAGACGTGGCTGTGTGATGTGGCACTTTAGTGTGACACAACAATTTAACATACAAACATAAGAATTCTTTAGCCAATCGTAATTCATTGCAACATATTGTATAGATTTTTTACATCTTTATCGCAAAATAACATGGTGTTTTGACAAGATATTTTTTAATCATAAATTCGCCCCTAAAGCACGCCCCTAAAGCCATAAGACACTGATGAAATCTTAAGATAAAACAAAAACAATTAATTATCAATATTGAAACATAACTGTACATTACTTTGAAAACAAATTTAATTTTTCATCAAAATATTTTCTAAAGAGATCAGGTTGTTTATTGAAGTTACTGCAAATTAGGAAAAAAGGTACAGAAAACTTGAACAATAAAGTCTTTTATGGTATTACCAATTACGTACATTGTAATGGTCATTTGGTCAGATATTGTTATAAACACTTAAATAGATTACTATTTAAATATCTAGTTCTATATTCATATTCATTTATTTGTTCACAAGTCATATACAGACTGCATATATCCTTACTACACTAAATATTTTAAATGGACTTGCCCCTCTTGCAATCTGGACAAAACCATTTGTCATTTTTAGGGCATTTTTTTTAAAATATGTAGTAACTCAATAGAAATCAGTGCCGACCATGATCAGACAGTACATGTGCCAGCAGATCTTGGTCTGCACTGGTTTTTGTTTGTTTGTTTGATTGGGTTTTATGTCACACCGACACAGTATAGGTCATATGGCAACATTCCAGCTTTACTGGTGGAGGAAGACCTCCTCACATGAAAGAATCCAAAGTCCCTGTCGGAATTCGAACCCACAGCAGTGAGGGGCAAGTGGTTTGAAGTCAATGACCTTAACCACTCGGCCACGGACGCCCCTGTCTACACTGATGGTATAGGTAGAAGCAATTGTTGTCCTCAGTTAAAAGGTTAACACTTTTATAGCCTTGGCAAAGTTGTCTTAATGAGAAGATCTTATTATTTCTGGGTGGGGAGACATGGGGAGAAAAAGTATCTCAATATTGTTTTTTTAAGGCACAATGTAGGAAATTGATTCCCAAATACATATATGTATAGAGAAAACAGTTCACAGCTTCAAAGATCTGAATATTTCATTTATTTATTTTATTTCCTTAACAAACTGACAACTCAGTAAGATCATCAAACTATGTAGTCCAGTCTAAAGGTTTCCAGGTCAAAGAACAAAGAATTTGGCAACTTCCAGCACATATTTTAAAGATTTTATATAAACTAACAAAATATCATAAATAGGAAAGAAAATGAATTTTTGCTAGCAAAACAGAAGATATGTCAGGTACACACTACATGAATTGACACTGGCTAAAAGTGGCTCCAATTAACTGCATTAATTGAGATTCAAGTTAAAAATTGCAATTTCAAAAGGGACGTAACTCCAAAAATATTGATTTCAAAATTATGCCCCTTATCAGTATTCAAAGCTTCATGTTGACTTTTAAAAGTTTGAATAATGGGCTACATTAAATTTTTTGCACAATGACAATGAAAATGCCTTAGCGATGAAAATAGCTAGATTTCCTCTTCAAAACATAGTCACTTTTCCAATTTCATAATTTTTTCTATTGATTATTTTCTCTAATTGATAGCTTCAATAGTTTGTGACTTGCAACCAATTAAAAACATCATGACTTTTCACTATTTATTATTTCATAACTAAAAGATGCTTTTTAAAGACGGCAATGGTAAAGACCAATGGTATATCATTCACATACATTTGTACTTCTATCATACTTAAATGAATTCAGTGATTTTGACATATGTGAGGTTCCATGAATTGATGGATGAGCTAGAATGGCTAACTTAAAGCAGCATTCCTCCAGAAGATAGCAGAAAATTTACCATTGTATCCATATTTTAAATTTAAAATATTGCTTAAAAAACTTAAATGTTAATATTTCGCCATTTATTTGCTTTGAAAACTAATTCTCCAATTTTACTTCATCATGGTATACCTTGTCATTCTTCTTTCATACTACAGACTTTTTTTTCAACTGGGTTATTTCTAGTGCCACATGATAGCAGAGGACAATATACTATCATACATGTACAGGATCAGTGAATGTATAAAAAAATACAGGGAAAGGAATAAAAAGCTACTGGTTTTGATATTTGTGGATAAAACCTTATGCTTGAAATATAATTATACCAGTATACACATAAAACATCAGTGAGAGACAAAATGACAAATAAGACTCAATGTGGGAGAGATTTACCTATTCAATGGTAGAAAGCTTAAAAATAAGGCAAGCCTCACTTTGGGTTACCTTTATCATGCAAAATTTTAAATTAATCTTATGGAACAATTTTTATTCTGTCCATGTGAAAAAAGTAGAAGATGACCAACAATGTACACAACTTAATAATTCATTGTGTAGGCTACAAATATTGCGTAACATAAATATAAAATAACCATGAAAAACTTTCTGAAGATTTTCATTAGCTAATTATAAATGACATCAATGTTTGATGACATCACTAATTAGTGACATCAATAAATATGTCATACCTGTCTTATCACAATCTTGTATCCTAATTGTTTTCACACAAAATGAAAACTATGTGTTATCTATGTGTACAGATCTTATCTTATGCCTTCAAGTTATCAACATGGAAATTTTAATTGAATAATACACTAAAATAAAACAATTTCGTAATGTCTCAACTTTGGCCACAGCAAAGAAGCACACGCACTTTTATGTATGGATTTACATGTACAATGTATTTAATTTTCTTCACTTTTGTAACAGTATTTTATTGTACTTTTCTTATACAAGCAATACTTCACTGTAATGGACTCAAAACTATAAAATTATAGGGCAAAATTATATGATGTTCAAAGGTAATGGACACATTATCTAAATATTGATTCTTCTTTTTTTTATCATCTATTTAAGGATAGACAATAGACAGTGAGTATTTTTACTTGGGAAATTAAAGAAAACTTTTTTATCCTGATTGGGAAATTTTAAAACTGTTAAGCACAGGCCCATCTGTCAGTGTTTTATAATAGGATTTGTAAACTTGTTCACTACCTGAACTGAAAATGGCAGAAAATTTACCTGATAGTGATTCAAAAATAACTAAAAAATATCAACACTAAATTTTTATAATTTTGTTGACAAAGTTACAAAGAATTTTTTTATTATAAAACATCCACCTTATCAAGTCTCATTACATAAATATCAATTATTCAGTCTGCGAAATTAGCAGTTGTCCTATTGCTCGAGACAACCATGTTTTGGTCGGGAAAACTAATTTTTAAGTTTACTTGCCAGATGGACAAGTAAAAATTTGCAGAAAGTATTCATCAAACTGTCAACGAATAGTGATTAAATGCAAGATATCAAATACAATCAGTTTGCTTACATATATGACTATTTTTCACTGACGATAAGTTTGCAGATTTGATCAATAATTGCTTGGAGATTCGGGCAACCAGTTTTTACTTCAGACAACCAAATTTTCTTGAATCGGTTGCCCGAATGACAACAATTTTTAAACCCTAATTTCACAGACTGATAATTTATTATATACCAAGGCACACACCTTTCTACAACACATGAATGGATCATGTAATTGCATTTTCATTTTTGCAATTTCCACACCTACGGAATTTGCTGATGTCAGCATACATAACAAAAACACCTATTGAAAGTTGAACAAAAAGTGCTCATTTACTTAAGAAATTTTCTGACATACATGTCACATGTTTGCATCTATTTACATCTTAATAATCATTATTTTAATCAATATCATCTGTTACATCCATTTCATGTGTGAAGTACGGATTACTGTAAAGGACTGCTGTATATGATAAATAAAATATCCATTGATTGACCAGTATATCATTATCCTATTATAAGAATAACAAAACATGAATTGTATTGATCAATTAACCAATTTTGTATACCTACGTAGCCAGTATTACACCATATGTTACCACATTGATGAATATTTCTATAGTAAATTGGAATTAGGCTTATAACAGCTTTTTACAAGAGAAACATTTTGTGTTCACATTCTTGATGATTAACAAATCTTATAATCATATAAGAAATGCCCCTTTCTGTGAAAAAGACTCAGTCTGTAAGCTACACTTATTTCAAACTGATTTTATTCATTTTATGCTACAGCTTGTCAGGTCCAGTACTGAAAACAATTTTATGCACTTGCAAATTGTTGCAATTTTACAACTTAAATTTGTCAAGATATTTACATTTTTTTTTCACTCACAGAAGTTTGAGTTAATTAGGAAAAACAAGTTGCATTTTTTTTCTTTAATTTTGCAAGCAAGATTTTGTTAAATTCTAGCCCTGATTTAATCACAGGGCCACTTGTTACCAATAAAAATCCATATATCCACTATATTTAGGGAAACTTAAGAACATGTCTTGAAGCAAATGCACTTGACTAATTTTGGGGCACATCGGGAAAGGACAAGCTATCCGAATATCAATCATATCCGGAATACGTTGCATTTAAACCTTAAGTATCAATGAAAATATAATGAAAAAATATATTGAAAAATGGTCAAGCTATAGAGAAAACGTATTCATCATCTACCTACATGTACGGATTTGGCATCTAAGCTTGATTTACTCGCCATTTTCTCTGTTAATTGACAGGCGACTAATTGCTTGTCGACCGGTGAAACTGTGCAAACTACTTTTCATGAAAAATATTATCTTGGTAACGCACGGGAGATTGGGTAACGCATAATTCGCGAAAAAATTAAAATGCCTTATGCCTCATAAACACACACAATCAAAATGAGTTTTACATTTGAGGCTCATTGGCCCATTTAGCCTCAGAAACGCTTTCATTTTTATTTTTCAAAGCTTCTTATGTTTGGTGTCCAACATGTTACTCAATGGTCACATAGCCTTATTTTGATTTTTAGCAACGAATTGATTTAGTATTTGTGTGGAAGTCAAAATACTACTTTGTTTA